TTGGTTAGATCCCACATCACCAACGTCGTATCCAAACCTCAAGGTGTTCAACATCATTCATCGCATCTTTCAAGGTACGTGAAAGTCTTCGACATTTCAGTATAAAGACTGGGCTCATCTCCTCTTCATTAGCATCAACATCAGCAACTACCACTTCTCCACGAACACATCATCACCACCTCTCCAACCATCACCATGAAGGCCGCCTACACTATCGCCCTTCTGGGTGCCACTCTGGCTTCTGCCCAGTTCACCAACCAGACCAGACCCTTCTGGCTCAAGTTCACCCCTTGCACCGGCGGCTCCGGCGAGACCTACCTCACCTCGTGCCACTCCGGTGCCGGCCAAGCTGGTCTCTGCCCCGAGACCACGGAGCCCGTCCAGGAAGCCAACCGTCCCACGACCCACACAAACTACTTCCTCAACGAGACCCAGTCCGACTACAACGGTCATCTCCTCGGCGCCCTGACCTGGAACCAGCCCATCGGCAACGGTGACCCCATCTCCTCTGGCATGCTGCTCAACCTGCAAATCGTTAGCAACGGTGCCATTCCCATCTTCTCCCCCGGCAACACCGCCCTCTTCACCCTCGGCTTTGACGAGAACGAGAAGCTCTTCATCTACTCCCGTGCGGACGACTCCAAGGCCGTTGCTGGCTCGCAAGCTCCCTATGGCGACGAGGCGTACTACCGCTGGCACGTCTGCTACACTTTTGTCGGCAACTACTACTACCGCTCCCTCGTCTGGATCACCGCCGGTCCGGCTTCCAACCCTACCTGCGAGGCTGTTGATGTGTACCGCGAGTGGGCTTAAGGCATGCATGGATGGGCTCACTGGTTACCAGCTTCGGCTGTGAGAAGAAGCCCGAGCTTCATGATCGGTCCTGCAATAATTACACGACAGCAACTCTGGTGTTGTCTTTGGTCGGAGTTCCGACACGACTGATGATGGTGGTCTACCTCCTGGTTGATGGAGCACGACAAAAGTTTCAATAATTAATCCTAATAAACTCTGTATTACAAACACTGGATAATGCTTCTTCTCCATTATTATGTTAGTTATTTCTCCTTCATATCATGGCTGTCATGCTATCCTACTCTGTCGGGCTAAACCCAAGTCTTGGGTATAATACCAGTACCATACCTGGCGTGTTGTCATATCATGAGTATGTCGTATCCTGCGGCTTTCTTCAAAGTCCGATCTCATTCAGGACAATTCCTGCAGCTAGGAAAAGGGGAGGGAATCTATAATCATATCAGGATGAAAGTGGAAGCACTCGTCTGGATTAGCTTCCGAGTATGATCAGCCCGGTTGCCGAACCATCGGCAACCATCTGATCTTCTCAGAGGACCCCTGATATGTTGTCTTACAAGGACCCCGTGCATGGGCCGCCCCTATTGGGAATGACATGGGCGGGGAGGACGTACCCTCTTGGCGGGAAGCTTACATGACCATCCCTCTCCAAGCTCCTTCACATACCGACCACTGACGCAGAGAAGCCATCAGTGACCATGAGAATATATGCTGCACGATTATACTATGAACTGAAATCTGAACTTTGTGGTCTTAGGTCTGTATCCCGAGCGAAGAAGGAAATGGCGGGGTAAACCAATCACGTAATGTCTTGTCCATGTCATTGCGTCAGGAAGCGCTGTTGCTGCGAACACCCACACCCATTCACTGTGCCATCCCTGGCTTTGGGGGCATCGGGGCAGTCTGTCTGCGCGAAGTTGGGATTGTTTGCCTTTCCTCTGCTCCTCTCCGTGTGGGTTTACACCAGGCACTTACACGAAATGGGCATGCCCCGCAAGTTCTCCAACACTCAGAACAGGCTGTACCAGACTAAGGCAGTCGGGATCTTCTTTCAGTAACTTCAAGACTTTGACGAAAACTCAGAAATTCGAAGTTCAAATTGTCATTAAATCAATAGCCCCATTAACCGATGGTCCATCAGCTTAATGCTTCGGAGACATAGCACCCCAATGAACCCAAAAGGAAATAGGCAGACCGCTTGCTACGCAACGAAGCCTGCAAAGCACGGCGGATCCATCTTTAAGAACTTCCGTGGTTTTATAAAGCCTTCAGGTCAAGAGAAGTGTGGATGCGAGGGCCCCTGGTCTTGAGTTAGCTGTTGTTGCTCATGCTGACATTAGCTATGTGGTCTGGCATCCCAGCAAGGACCATCCAGCCTTAGGTAGCTTACCTAAGGTAAGGTAAATAGGCACCAGCCATATAGGTAGTATCGCATCCCAACTGAAAGTCTTCTCACTGGAATGGCCCGAATAAGTTGTTGTCCACGGGATAGTAAGCATCTTTGAAGTCATTCAACATCATATCGAGAGTATCGTCGATGGCCAGCGTCGTCATCGTATTGGTGGTGGCGGCAGTCGTAGGTACACCAGGGTCAGTCCCTCCAGCGGGAACTAGAGGCTGAACTAGGACCGTGCAGCCACAGATCTCCTTGTGGCGCTTAATGTTAGACTGGTGGTTCGGAAAGGATTTGCCGCATGACATCTGAACAGCCTGTCTGTGCTTAGAGTTGATATGCCTTTTGAGGTTGGAGGGACTCGAGTAGGCTCCGTCGCAGCCGGGTGCTTCACAGCGCAACTTGGCCTTGGTATCTGAGGCAGGCATGACGATATGAGCGTTTTGCTTCTGCTACGCTTAGAAGATGAGTAAGGCCGTTGACATAATCTAGGAACTGAGGTAGGAGAATAGCTTGGCGTGTCATCTCCAATCTCAGGAGGACATCGGTGGACTTATTCGCACCTGTTTATATATCCAGATAATTGAGGAGTGCGAGTCTCCATGTCGTAGATAGAGGAAGAAAACGCTTCCATCAATCATAAACGACTTTTAGGTAGAAAGAGGAGGTTTTCCACTTGTTCGTGATGGTCGGGTCAATCCAAAATTGTGCGACATCGGTCAACACCTCGTTGCTGACGGCTCTCTGTGGTCTGCCCCCATCCAAGGCGCTGGTTCGCCCTGTGACCGCCGTTAGAGGCGAACGGAAGCGAACGGAGCAAGGTGAGACTTGTCATCGGTCGGGTCGGCGCCTCATTGAGACTGGTACTCTCGAGGTTTATGACTGCGGCTGCAGCCATCCTCCCCAATGGGAGACGCGGCACTACCAATGATAGTTTGGGCTCAGAGGGGAGGAGCGCTTGTTTACCTCTCTTTGAATGCGTCCGACCGAGCTGAAAATCGCCGCAGGTCACTTTTCTTGCATTCTCATGCCTTTCTTGACATCAACGATGCGCTTACCTGAGTTGGTGACGTGCGGTCCACGAGGCTGGGTGGGCAGGTTGCCAGGGGGTTGACGGAAGACGAGACCAACTCGAGTGACAGCTCACTTGAACATGACTTCTTTTATCGAGGCTGCTAGGTCTAGCCCGATTAGGTAACCCTTACATAGGATTGATCAAAGGACTTAGGTATGTCACTCAGTTTCAAAGGACATAACCTCTCCATGGACATCACCAGTCGGAGAATATAAATCTTCTGAGAGGGGAAGAAAACAGCATCCCCCTATCTCTATCCAGTATCTCTTTCATTTTGAGGAGGAACTGGGCGTAATGACTTGAGACTCGACGTACAATGCGATGATCCGGAAACCAGTGGTCGGGTGATAAATCAGAGAAGATGAACTCCTCCGTGACACTTAGCCACGTTGGCAATCCAGGTAGCCGCGAAGAGCTTTACTGAGTCTATTGGCGCATAGCAGCCGGCCTTGGGGATTGGTGTAACAAGCTGCCTCTCCGTGGTACCCTATCCACTACAAGAAGAATTGTAACGTTTGCCAACCTAGTAGGACAACACATGCTCGAATCTCCAAATCTACGGGACATCCGCCTACATACATCGTGATTTATTGGCCACCCCTGCGGACTCGATTGGGAAGACGCGGAGGCTCGACGTAGGTAATTCTCTAGTTTCCCCTCACGATAGAGTACAGTCAAGAGTCCAATCATTGATGAATCTTGTGAAGCTCTGTTTGACGAGCATCCTGGAGAGCTTCTTTTGCATGTGCCTTGCACTAATCCTGTCCATTAGGATGACCTCATCATCGTAATGCCGAATGTCAAGCTCCATAGTCGGTACGTCTAGGAGATAGTGGTGGTACCGAAAGTCTGGGATGAGAGAAGAGCTAAAACAAAGCTGCTGACGCAAGGGCACGACCACAAGACGCGGTTTAATCACAACCATTCACTTGATCCTGGACCCATGTGTCCGTGCGTGTCCTGGTGTGTCCCGCAAGGGGGCCCCTGTATGTGGATTACCCTAGCGCTGGAAACGTCCCGTCCCATCCTCGGATCCCCTGTCTTTTAAGGTTCATCCCGTTTAACCACCTTTGTGCTTACGGAGTACATAGGCCGCATTTGATGGATTCCGGGGCTACCGCTGCATAACATTGGGACATACTGGGTCATTCAGGTCCCCTATGGAGGGCCTCTTGATCCAAGTCAGATGGAGAGAATCAAGTTGTGGTTTCGCCGATACTGTTCACAACTTTTCGCGCTCACACAGATAGAAGAGGAGATGCCTCGTCACACGCAAGCATGCTCTGGCAATTATGGAGGGAAACAGATATTCATTCTCGATGTTTGAATTTTGTGAACCAAAGACTCCCGTAACAAATGAAAGTATCATGAAAGATGCATGGCTATGCAATGATAACGACAATGCCTCTGTATGCGAGTCTAATTCCTTCCCATTCTATCGCGCGTATGCATCTTCAAATATCCACACAAATATTAAACAATCTGGTTTTTGATCGCTAGGAAGGCTGTTTCAACTAGTGATCGAGAAATAAAGCTTCAGTAGATGGAGACCTGCTCCTTTTACCGATGGCCGTGCCGGTCGTCATTCAGTTCGTGATACTGGTCGTAATGCTGGTCGTGATGCTTGTCATAATGTCGGTCGTGATGCTGGTCGTGATGCTGGTCGTGATGCTGTTCGTGATGCTGGCTGCAATGCTAGCCGCGATGCTGGTCATGATGCTAATGACTCTGGTAGTAGCCAGCATGGTAGCCATCATGGTAGCCATCATGGTAGCCTTGCGGGTAGCCAGTCTGGTAGCCGTCCTGGTAGTTTTGCTGAAGACCGTTCAGTGACTGGGTAGTCTGCTGTTGGCTCTGTGGGAGATAATGGTGGCCATACGTGTAGCCGGACTGGTAGGCATACTGGCCGTGCTGCCAGCCGGCCTGCGAGCCGTCGCGATAGCCATGCTGATGGCCGTCGTGAAAGCGTTGCATCCAGAGTTGCTGATAGCTGATTTGTGACATGCCGGTGTACTGAGGTTCAGCGCCCGGAATGCTGACATTGAATGCTATCTCTGGTCCAGTTCCGTTGCCAACAGAAGACGAAGGTATCCCTGAGCTTTGCTGACATTCCCCACATTTGTCTTGATGTCGCTGAATGTTGTCTGGGCGGTCGGTAATCAGACTTCCGCAAGGCATCGGGACCTTGTCACCATGAACGCTTTTCTGGTGTCTGTTGAAATTGGACTGGTCGTTGAACCGCTTGCCACGGCATTCCGGCTGTTCACACTGGAAAATAGAGGGTTTCGAGGTGTTGTTCTTGGTAGGCATGACTGGCTTCTAGCGGTGTTGGAGTCGTTTTTGGGGTGTCCAAGGCAGTTGGCTGCAGGTACGAGGAACAGAAATTCAGGCTAACGAAGGGAAAGAACTAACTAAAGAATGACTGGATGAATGAATGCGAATGACAGTGATAGGAAAGAACAGAGGAACAGAAAGTAATAGGACTCGGATTGAGCTATGGCTGGCTAAGGCCTCGGCCTTATAAACCTTTGTGAGTACGTATCTGAGTCCACCGGATGGGAAGGAAAGGAACACACCGCGCAAAGCATGACGAGGACCGGAGCAGACTGCGCAGCGAGCTCAAATGACAAGGTGCACACTCCTGGGGATTCTACAAATCTGACGCTGGAACGATTTGCCTGGAAGCCACGCCATTCGAAGTTGAGTCTGACCCCTGCGTTTCGCCAGTTGAGGACTGCGTGGGGAACCACGCAGCACCAGGGAAATCGCACCCCTACTTCTGGCCATTCTCATATTCAGCCGTTGAGGAGCGCTTCTTTGATGCAGGGAACGATGCTGTGAATGTGTGCATTCAAGTCTCTGGTGTGTCGACGTCGATTTTCCTATTAAACAGTCTGAATGTTGGGCTTCCACAATCGCAAAGATGAGGTCTCGTTGAAAGTAGATACCGGCAACAACAGCAAGAACAGAGAGAACGTCGAATTCACCGAGTGCAGAGAACCTTTTCTTCGCATTTTATATATATATACTAAATTATTTTTGTAGAGAGGACTTGGGTTGCAGACTACAGCATCCTTTGCTTTCGGATACCGCGTTTTCCAGACGCTGAATGGAACGTCAACATTCTCAGACGCCTCAAAAACCATCATATGACAAGTAAATCTTCTCGACGATAGGTAGACGTACGAAGGGGTGCTTCCGCTAGGTTTCGTATGAGTGGAAATGGCACGATTGTAGCCCCTGGTTGTTGCCAGTCCTCAGTATGAAGTCGACTTCACTGGCATCGTGGGTTCAGAGAACGAAAATGTGTGAAACCTGCCAACATCAAGTCCTCAGTGTGGCGATCATTTCGTTGGTGCTGGACTGCGATGGAAGAAGAGGGTGCACCTGAAGTTATGAGGACTCAGCCCCACACCTGACGTTGCATGCCCGGTCTTCCATGGGGAAGCGGTTACAATTTGCACTTGACACGAACGCTCTGCTCATCTACGTACCTGGTTAGTGTCTGGCCTCCGCTGTCAGGTTTTTGGAGTAGCACCGGCGCCGGCGGCACCTACAACCGCATCGTCCATGGCTGTCAAGGGAATACCAAGCCAGCCAACCCCACCACTTCACCAATGACCTCACAGGCCCGGCGGGAGGTATTCGTCGGGATGCGCAGCAGTATTAACACTTCGCCTGCTTCTCCTCGAGTCCTGTAGTTCTTATCTATTATCTTATCTTCGGCTGAATCAATTGCTGTCATAAAGAACTTAGCTTGCAGGCTGGACGACTTGGAAGCTTCCATACAACATCAGACTGCGGTGTAAGCTTGTATCTGAAGCCTTGTTGGTTGGTACCGGACTTCTTCCCTATCGAAACGTCTGCTACATTCTGCACCCAAATGTGCTGTAAGAGAGGTAACTGCAGTCCCCCGGATGACTGTATGTTAGTACAAATAATTGCTTCTAATAAGAGGGCATGCAAATCAAGGATGTCGTTCCTCAACTACGAACCCCCGCACACGAGCTGTCGAAATCCGACGTTAAGGGTCGATGACAAACTTGGAGCTCACCTCTCGTTGGTGGATGCTGGGGGTCCACGTCACTTACACGGGCCTACCTGGTCTTAGACCGGCCGTTGGATGGTGAACCGATTTCTTATTTGGTGGGGCTCAATAATACATGAAGTCACCGGGGCGAGCCGAAGTCTTTGTTGGCTTATCCAGTCTTTTGCAAGTGGCAGAATTTATTTTTGTGTCTTCAACGAACGACTGAGTAAAACGTAGTAACGCATAAGAAAGCCAGCTCTGATCGGGGTATCGGACGACCCCGGTTCATCCTACGTCCCCTGTCAAATGCAAAGTTGCCCGACTGCTCTTCCTCGCGAGGAGCTCCGTGCGCACACCTGGTTTGACTACACCCATCAATCAGTTAGGGACTTGGTCGTGTTAGGGACGGTCTTTTGACTGATCACCCGCGAAAGCGAAGTTCTCGATGACCAACCTTACAAATCTTGCTTGAAAGACGACCCCCATCATTGCTGTCTCGTTGCGTGATGATGCCACCTCATGACACAGCTCGACGTCAATGGCCTCTGGAACGATAAGGATAACACTCAAGGAAAATTAGAAAACCAAATCTCAAACAAGATAGACAATCCGCTTGCTCCACAGAGACACATGGGGTAATTAAACAACGTGTATCATAAGACGTCCATAGTTCTTATCACGCTGTGCGTCGAGGGAGGTATGGGCACGAGGGCTCCTGGTCTCGGATTAGCTGCGTGCCGACGCCCGCGGTGCAAGAATGCGTTCCCATCTGCTTGAGCCATGAGGTCTCGCATTCCGAGAAGAGTGTTCTTACTACAAGAACCCAGGATAATATCCATTGTTGGGATCATAGACGTTGATGTGATCTCTCGAGTTGATAGCGAAAGCGTCAGCGAACTCGTCGACGGTGTCTTCGAGAACCAGGGTACCAATATCATCGAAGATTCTGTCGGGCTCGACGAGGTTGTCGTCGAAAAGATGGGCTCCGACGACATCCATGGTGTCGATGGTGTTGCCGACCTCGTTGAGTGTGTCATTGAGGATCGGGGACCCGAGGGCGTCAAGGGAAGGCAACCCCAGAATTGCACGGCATCCGGAGCACCCGAACTGGTGACGGCGGGAGTTGGATCGGTGATCTTGTCTGATTATGCCGCAAGGCATCTGAACGGGCTCGCCGTGCTTCGACTGGATATGTCTGGCGAGGTTGGATGGAGTTGAGTAGGTCTTACTTTCGCAGCCGGCCTCCTCGCAGCGTAGGTTGGAAGATGCTCTATTCCGCGTTACAGGCATCGTGAAATTGCTGCTTTGTGTTTATTGCGCTTGGGAGACAAGTTTGGGTTGCTATATTACGGGAATCGGGAAGCAAAGTGGGAGAATGAAACAGCTAGTCATGCTGCTCATTCCTTCAGGAGAAAGCGGATGAAGATCCATCTTTGTACTTTTCAGTAGATGATGATGATGAAGCTGGTGGTGAGGAAAGCTTGGGAGAAAGGGAAACTTCGGTCTCATCAAAGAGGAGGATGGAGGCTCCGTTTGACAGCTCATTTACATGGAGCGCACCGATTGGACGGTGGACTTGGGATCCTGCTGGGGGAATTGAGGGAAATGCTAGTCTCGACCGGGACACTTGATCCTCCATCCCTGCACGGAAGCAACCATAGTGATGGTTGGTAGGAACATACTCCAACATCGAATCAAAAGTCTAGCAGCACTATCAAGGTAATGACGAGCTTCACGCAACCCATTCGACCACACACTGCTACGTCGCAGGCAAAAAAATACAGCGCAGACCTGCAGGGCACTTCACCTGCCTGCTTCTCTCCCTGCTCAGGTGTTGAATACAGTTGGCTGCCCAGGCACTCAGTCTTGGCCAGGGCCACCCGACACAGGCATCTTGCGGGTCACGTGATGGGTATATTCCCGTTATGGTCGGGTGAGTTGAGATAAGGTCGGGCCTGGTTGAATGACCTGCATCCTCCTTCGGTACGATGAGCTGAGCTTTGGGCCCGTGGCCACCCCATGCGCGTCGGCACCGCAGCGCCGCCAAGCCTGAGGGGCGGAGCAGCTTGGGCGGAGCAGCTTGGAAGACAAACCAGTCGAATTGTTAACGTCGCCTTTACCATCTGTGACCCCGAATTCGGCGCATTCATAGCTGTGTGAGACAATGAGTGTCGAGTCTCGATCGTTAATTCATTACCCACACCTCTCCGATTGTCAACCTGGTCTCTCATCCACTCAGACCTTGACGCATTCCAATAGACTTCAGCCTGGAAGACGACTAGTCGAAGTCGTTAATCGCACACCCATGCATGCGCCGCTTTGCGGCAGACCTCCGCAAATGCTCATCGCTATCGTGGTGTTAGCCCGTTCGAGGGGTCTTCTGCTCGGGTCACTAGGTAACCCGACCCAATTACGGGCTGTCATACAGCACTATAAGGTAGTCGGGCGCATTTCACCCCTCTACGGGTTATCAAAACGCCTCCCACAACCCTTGGAACATGCCATCAGCGTAACCTTGAATCGTCAGAATAGAGCCCCCCCCCCTAAACTCTACACCGATTGGAGCCGCGCAACCGTCTGTCGCGACGCCATGCCCTGGTTTTATGACGAGTGCGATGGCTCCTCCTCAGACGATCCAGGAGTTCAGAACCCGCCTTGGGTTTGAAGCTGGAGATGAGACGGGAAGTATCTCGACAAATATGACAGGCGCACCGGTCACAAATTGTGGATCGCTAATAGACCTTCACTTCCTTGCCAGTACTGCATATATAGTTCTACCGTCTATTGAAGAAAAATCTACGGCCCATGGGGTAGCCGTGCAAAGGGGGGTTTGATTATTGCAGCTTTGCCGGTTCTTGAATCTGGAATGTCTCACCAGCCACGCATGTCGGACCCTCTCGCTTGTACGAATGCAAACTCGATCCAGAGGAGCCACTTGAGTGTGGTAGGAGACCTTGATCCTGTGTGTAGCCAGACTTTGAGCCCCCGCCGTACGGACCTTCTCTGGAGAGATACCCCGCACGCAAGCTCACCGAGTTGCCAGTGCAAGTCACCGTGGCTTCACCGAGGCTTCACCTCTAACTTCCAGGGTTCGGAGGCCAGCCACACTATTTGCATCTGTCTGACCTTGCCGTTTCAGTGCTAGACCATGCGAGGCAGCTAATCTGAGCATCTTCACTAACAAGGGCATCGGAACATCCTGCTCTTTTGACTTGGTGTTTGGTATATTTTCCTTACGCACAAGTATCCAAGTTGCAAGGTATCTTATATAATGTATACATAGATGTAGGAATCAATGTTCGAGTCTACTCGCGTGCATTCGTTGCATAGGAATGGCTAACTCTCCTCACGACAGGCGCCGAGCAGGCGTCGTAGCATTTGCCAAGCTGACGGGAGGGACGAGAAGAGGGACCATGTTCAAGGCTCCGTGTCGTTGGTAAGCTCAGTGCTGACAGGCTGCCCCCATACACAGATACAAGCTCATTATTGCCAATGGTGCAGCGTTCTAAAGCGTCCTCCAACTAAGGGCTCCCTGCAACGTTGTTTTCTATGCGGTCAATCATGAGGTTTACAGCTGTTGGGGCTCGATGCCCGGAGCGCTGACTTCGAAAGTCATCGGTGTACTGCTCAGATTCCTCATTGCTATGACGTTTGCGATGTAGAACATTCTCTTGCGCTGTTAATAACACTGCTTCGCCCACTACTCTCGCATACACTAGTGCCTTCGTCGAAGCGCACCCAGTGTGAAGTCAGCTGAACGATTGAGCAGTGCAATCATCGTCGCTATGAGACATCATAAAAGTCGCAGGTAAGTGGCAAGCTCCTTTTTACCACTTTCTCAGTCGAAGCCTGGCTGATGAACTTCTATCAGAGGCTTATAACGAAGTGAGAGTTCACTCATCTACATCTCACTGATGGTTGGGGTCCACCTCACTTACACAGGCTTGGGCCTTATACAACGGAGGCCGGGGCCAACGGCATTCGTGTATGGCAGGGATCCCTAATTTGGTGTTAGCGCACCGACAACCTTAAGTCAAGATGCTCTAGGCAAGCCTGTCAACTAGGTACGGTGAGATATCTCAGGTAGCAGGTTTTCATTGGCAACATCTAGTTAATCTCTTGGCCAGATGAGAAAGACTTTTGGTTCGGTGTATATCCTGTGGATCTCGAGCACCTTACAACACCGTCACTGCTGGTGTGTCCTTGCATGCGCCTAGTTAGGTACGTATCCGTAATGACGGGTTTCTAGGTACGTACTCCTCCCGCGTTATCGCCCCACTTGCCGTTGGATTCCACCCCTTGGTCGGGTGTCCTTGGAGCCACCGGCCATGGTGGGTGCTCCACGCACTTTGACATGGGTACGTAGCCGTAGCGCTAACATCATTCCGCCTCGTTCCTCATCGGGGTTCACTCACAGGCTACTTGAACTTTTGGAGAGTCTCATGGATGGAATTTGGTGTATTATAAAGAGCGATTAGCGTAAAAATAAGCGTGGCTACGTATTGAAACATGGAATAGCCAGCTCTGCCCCGGGTATCAGACGTTCACAAATGCATTGCATGCCGTTCCTTGCCAAAAGAGACACTTGACGCGATTGCTCCTCGATGTTGAGAGCTCCGTGTTGACGCCGGTTCTGACCGGCACGCGAGCCACGAAGTCGGTCTTGCTAGGAGCGCTATTCCGGTTGAAGGGTCTCGCAAGTATAGTCCTCCATGAGAAAGCTCATACCGCTGAACTCTCCTGGATGGAATTCGAGGGTGAAATCGAAGTCCCTAGTCTCCGCGGCACCGGTGGTTGCGCTCGTAGGTGACCCGAAGCTGGTTTGCGCAGCGGGACTTGAAGGCTGATCCAGAGCCGTGCAGGATCTTGCACATGACTTCTGGTGGCGCTTGATATTCGACTTATGATTTGGAAAGGGTTTTCCGCAGGACATGCGAATAGCAGTGCCGTGTTTGGAGTAGTTGTGCCTGTTGAGATTGGACCGAGTGGTGAAAGTGGTGAGTTCGCAGCCGGGCTTTTCGCAACGAAACTTTGAGGGTACTGCATACCCCGGGACAGACATTGCGACTGAGGTCAATGTTTCCCTCGCGGATTGACTGCACTTGAAAAATGAGAGAGAAGGTTGCAAAGTTGAAGGCTGAGTATTGCATGTCTATTCTTCTCGACAGGGCAAAACTAATGTCATGGCCACCATTTATACATGTACTCAGCATCTTGTAAGTAAATGAGGATTGCGAGCCTCCTCTAGGTCATCCGGTTCACCGGCCGTCGTGGTCCTGGTGTAGTAGTGTAGCATGCCGTCTGGATAAGTAGCGGCAAGTACTTCCGAGCTTGCGTCCACAGTTCCTAAAGCAAAGTCCCGCTTAACGCTGGGTAGACTACAGATGAGTACGGAGTACTCTCGACGACTCCAAGGATTCTAAGCCGCAAACGGAGTAGCAGCGCTCCCAGTACAAAGTACACCGCCTTACCCCTGTATGGACCCTACCGCTATCTAATGAGGTATACTTCTTTGCACTGCCTCCTTGTTGGTACTACATGTGGGAGACCTAAACTCTCACTCACTTTTTCTAGACCATGCTATGGTATAGTATAACCGCCGCCTCCTACGAAATGCTCAACACAGAGGAGACGTGACAAGGGGCAAAATCTTCTCTCCATCCCATCCTCTGAAGAGGCGCATATACGCCAAGGCTAGATCAAGCAGGAACCGCTCTTCACGTAAGGCAGAACGTAACCCCATGCCAACACGCATGGCCACACCTAACACGCCCATAGAGGCGAGCGAGGTCGCCGGTCATTAATGGGCAGGCGCCTTAGCCTGGAGTTGCTTCTATTTGTATTCGAAGAATTGTACTGTGTTGGCTTGAAAGACTCATGTCGCGATGACCAGCTTGGGGACAGAAGACCTGCTTGTGTCTACGCAATTTTCAAACATATAAGTCTATGGGGTATCAGTCACATCAGACAGCCTCACTCTCTCGCTCCCCAGCTGCGCCCCGCTTGCTGTTCGCTCCTCCTGAGTACCTCCCACTGCCCTCTCTCCTCCGTCTCCATCTCCTCCCCTGTCCCACTTCCCCCATCCCGCCTCCGCCCCGGCCTCCGCCGTCTCCTCCCCCTTTCCCACGCCGAATCAGGCGCCGAAACATAATTCCTCTTCCGGCTCGCCATCTTAAAAGGAAGCATATTGCTAAGTCTCTCTATGTTGCCAATAATCCTCCGCCCATCGCCTGGCCGACTCCTCAACAGATGAATTACTTGCATCAAGATCTACATGTAGGTATTTTCAGAGCTTAAGCATGTTGATAAACCCACCAAATTCGTCGCCGGACAAGAAAAAGCACCTAGTATGAGGAGGACGGGCGGAGAAATGGCGACACCCCCTTTCATTCTTCTTCAAACTCATCTGCTGCCAATATTTTAGCCATCCGAATGTCATAATGTCTGTGGGCATAGATGGGTACGGCAGACTGGGTACGGCAGACTGGGTACTCCATCCGAATATTGACCGAAACTCAATCGCGCTTCACCAAGACCCGCCCCCACCTTACTTACACGAAACCTCGGCCAGGACAAGTCATAAAGTATAATTCACGATTTCCTCGACTCTCCGTGTACGTGTCAGTCTACGTTTTCTACTGAACATAAAACAATGGATATGTAAGTTTGAAGATATAGAACTTCCGCCATTCTGACCTAAGTTTCGATGATTTGACCTGATGGCTAATCCGGCAGTGTATTGAAATAGAGAGCTAGACTACCTATGCTCAAGTCTGCTTACACAAGGTCTGAACACAAGAAATTGACAGCACTCTCCCGGGGATATCGTGACTGAAAGACGCCCATTCAAAATTTCCAAGCTGAGAAAATGGGTAATCATTGCCAAGGCTCCATATCGTGGGTAAGCTCAGTGCTGACAGCTGCCCCCACCATACATATTTAATATGATGGCTTTGCTGCACAAATTATGTGTGAGATTAAAGAATTTGTAATTCCCTCGTCTTCAGAAAAAGACGCCGAGCGATGAGCCGACATCAAAAATATGACATCTAGCCATGACGCAATCTGAACAGCGAAGGAACGGCGGAAAAAGAGACCTTCATTCATTTGGCATACTCTATGATGGCCTTGTTGTACGAGACGGTGCCGAAGACAATGTTTGTCAACGCACCTCACCATCCACCCACTCCTCGAAATAAAAGAAGAGAAAAAAAGAGAAAGAAGACGAACAAATTCCCCGGTACTAAGAATGCCCAAAGAGGGACGCAAAATTGTCGACGAGGGTTCGGCATACATCGCAATATTCTTCAATCGTATCCCGACTGCCGGCTCCGATCAAACTTGACAGTTTCTGTGGTAAATGCATGTGGAAAATGAGAAGAGAAAAAGGTAACACTGAAAAGGCAAGCAGAATACGCTCAAGTCTTGCCAAGCAGTTGAAAATATACCCTGTTCTTCTCATGCTCCCCGTAGGAAAGGTCAGCCCTCCACGACCACGCGTCTTGCGTAGAAACGACAATCCTTCCAGAGGTTCCTTGTCGCCGGCGAACCCTGTGTCGATGGCTGCTCTGACTGTGCACAGAAGCTGGGCATATAGCCACGATGTCGGCGTCCCAAAGCTGATTCTCCACTCAAAGGGACCGAAGATCGTGATTCTCTGAGAGATAACTCAGGTTGTTGAAATCTTCCAGGTAATTGTCAAAGCTGACATCAAGGCTGGAACTCTCAGTAACAATGTTGGCGTCGCTCATAAGTCTTCCGAATTCGTTCTGTTCGGGCGTCGATGTCATGACTAGAGCTTGACAACAGCCCTTACACTTGTCCCGGTGACGCTTGATATTCGATGTGTGCTTAGGTAGTAGTCTACCGCAGGACATTAGGACGGGCTCGCCGTGCTTAGACCGGACGTGTCTTCTGAGATTGGATTGAGTAGAATAAGTTTTGGTTCCACAGCCGTGTTCTTTACATTTTAATTGTGATGAAGATGCTTGAGTCCCTGGGGCGGACATGGTGATTTTGGCGGGGTTACCGGAAGATGAGCTACAGGGATTAATGATTTGCGGCTGTGAGATGAAGTTGATAGATTCCGAGTGGCTGTCTGTCTACCATAACTGATACCCAGCTGGTGAACACGACCATCATTTATAGATTTTGGACGCGAATAGTATTCAAAGTGAGGATTCGAGCTTCGGGAGTGTGGCTCAGTCGAGTGGTGTGGCGTTGAAGGTCGAAACTGAAGGTCGACATGGCAGTGGTGACCAGATACTGGTAGCTGGGTCCGGCTTCGAAAGATACACTGAGTCTACAATGGCCGGCCGTCAACGACGGCAGCAGAGAAAGGCCAAGAAAAGGGACATAACCAATCACATGTTACGTTTACAGTGAAAGGCAGCCGGACAGCACCCCCAGCATGCTTTAATCCAACAACGGTACCTCCAATCAAAGCGTGGCAGCCTCGCTGGAAGTATTGGACGATCTGACACGCATGAGTCGAGGCCGGGATGGCGGCCAAACCGCTATTGAGCGACGTAAAGACCAACCCGATTCTTCGTTGTCCGGCAGGCAATCGTGGCTGTAGGTACAGTGATAGAGTGATAACATACAGCTCGTCCTGTTCAAGACAAGCCGACTCTCAATCCAAAAACCATTGATTGACGAGTGGAGGATGAACTCACCTACTAGGCACAGTCACGCTGACCAATACAGGGTTGGAGTGGTTCCACCTGACACGCATCCTCTCGACTACAGATCTCACCTTGTAACTTGTAGACGTCAGCCACCATGTAATTTGGAGAGGATACATTTGAGAGCAATGCAAAACAACACTTGTCTGCATAGGTCTGCACTGTGCATGTCTATAGGGTATCTCACCAGCCGCACATGACGAGCCCCTCCGCACCTCCAGGGCGCCTCACTCCTCCCGCTCCTCTTCTCTCCCATCCCGACTTCTCTCCAAGCTATCGCTCTTTCCTCCATCACCTTCTCACCGCCTCAGTTCGCCGCCAGAATCTCCGCCGCATCAGGCGCAGAGCTATGATCCCTCTTCCCGTCCGCCATCTTAATCATCTCAGCCTGCTTCTTCATCCTCTCCGCCTCGGCCTGCTTCGAATGGCTCACGTACGTCCCGTACCGCAGCGTCCCCAGCGTCAAGACCGCCATGAACAGGATCCCAATTACCGACCGCCGGATCAGGATCCACCGCAGGCCCTCGATTTCAGATTTGGCGTCGCTGCTTAGGTGAAGGCTGATTTTGTAGTTGATTTGTTGGATCTGGTCACCATCAGTACGATCATCCCCAATCTTCGAGAAGGATCGGAAAGCAAAAGGGGCACTCACAACACTATCACCAGCCTTCTGCTCCTCCCTCACCGCCATCTTGCGATCGTTAAACATACCCCTCACGTTATCATTCAGCGTCAGCAGCTCCTGGTTCAGACTCTGCGTCAAGATATCGACCTCGTGCTGCAGCAGCGTCCTCTTCTGCCGCATCTCCTCGTCCGCCAGCTTCTGGTTGTTCTTCACCTCGGTGCTCAGCTCCGAACACGCCGCCCGGAACAGGTACGTCTCGTTCTCGACGTCGCTCTTGCTCACCAGGCTCTCCTGCGCCACATCTAAATTCTGGGCCAGGATCGCGCGGATCGCCTTCATCAGCGTGATGGCCTGGTCCTTGCTGTACCCGCCGCCCTCGAGGTCCTTCACGAGCGAGTAGCTGTCAAAGTGGTGCACGTAGGGCGGGGGCGCCATGTGCGGGTGCTGCTTGGCGACCTCTTCGGGGGGTCCCATGTGCAGGATCGCTTCGAGGGGCCCGCTCTTCTTCGCCTGGTCGCGGGCCTCCTGCTTTGCGGCTTTGGCTTCCTCCGCCTCTTCGGGCTGTTGCTGCTGCTGCTGTTGTTCTCCAGAGGCGGCACCCGTGGCGTCGGCCGCGTTATTCTCCGCCGAATTCGAGGCCGTCGCCGTCGCCGAAGCTGCCGCCGTCTTGGGATTTACGCCGTCGTCGGTCGCCCCCTTGGACGCACCGACCGCAGCCTGCCCGGGACTCGCCTCCTTTCCATCACCCGCCGGCGCCGGCGCCGGTGTTGTCGTTGTCGTCGCTGTCGCAGACACAGGCTCAACCCCCTTTCCGTGTCTCGGCGCGAAACCCGACTGCTGCGCCCCGGGCGTAGGCGCGAACGCGGCGTACCCCCGTCTCCGAACCTCGGCGTGTCCCCGTCTCCGACATGATTTCGACGCCGCGCGGCTCGTCGTCGCCGTAGTCGTCTCGCTGAGGCGTACCGTCCGGAAAAGGTGCGGATACAGAAACGTTAATCGTGCAGGCTGCATCGTGTGTGTGGAGGTGTGGTGGTCGTGGTGGTTGTGTAGGGAGAAAAAACGAATTGGGAAATTTGGGGGGTGATGGAAATGGGAAAGTAAAATGGCAGCGGATACACCCGTTCAGGTTTAATCTCCACGATGGTACGTGTGGGGGGGCACGGGGTCCAGTGTGTCGGAAGGCTAAGCTCAGGAACCCGAGGTTTAATACCGGCGTCTGGAGGGAGCTGTTTCCCCCTGATGTCATTGGGTGGATCCCCTGCCGCTTGTCCAAGGTAACCCCGATGCCGACCTCGCTGTCGGGTCCGTTTCCGAAAATGCGGAAAATCTGCCGAGGACTACGACTTACACAATCTGGCTTACACTGGGCGCCGAGGTGATTGGGAATGCTGTACACCGCAAACAGGTAATCCCTTGAATGACTTCAAGCGACTCCCTTACTCTCACCTCATGCTCACAATGACACGTCGCCAAATCATCAGAAACTGTCCATACTCTCACGTCTATTGACAGGTCTAATCCGTCAGACTAAGACTGGTATCGCCTAGACACGAATAATTCAATAAAATACAAGAAGACTCGAAAAATATCATCTGCGCCCCAAAATGACCGGCCCCGATGCCCCCTTTGGTGGAAAGCCGACAAACCCCCGATAGGAACCTCAAATTCCGACCGGCCGCTTTCCGTGTTCGTATCGCTCAGCCATTGTTCCTGTGATAAACCCTTCCAATGGCTCTCCAGAGACCTCAGACTCATTACTTTGCAAAATAAAAGTCCAGAAAACTTTGCAACCAAAAAAAGAAGAAGCAACAGAGAATCATGTCCGTTTTGGGAACCCTCGCCTTTCCCCAAATGTTTGTCCAAGCAGATTTTCTACCGTTGTGACCGTGTTCCAGCCATGTATGTGGGTGATTTTTTTTTTTGGAGTTGCATATTCAGATCAGGTATGTGAAAACAAAATTAGGTAAGTGTTCGTCGTCTTTTTTTCTTCTCTTTTAAACAAGTCTGGCACATGGGCCGGGATCGTCAAGTCCGTTTGGTGTCGTGATGCATGTCCGAAGCAACCGTAGACGCCGTCATCGCAAAAGATTCGTGTAGTACTGTTATCAGGCCTCCTCCACTTGCACCTTGAGGCTGACACCTCCGGGCGCGCTGGACTTGTTATCGTCCTCGGCAACCTCGCCAACGGCACTGGCGCTGGTGCTGGGCGGGCTGCTGCTCTGGGGGCTGTTGGGCTCCATAGTCAGAACCGGGGTTGGCGCGGCCGAGTTGGTGTCGGCCTGGGATCCCCCAGACTTGGACGGCGTCGTCTGCGTCGTCGCGTAGATGAGTCTGTCAATGGCGGCGAGCTGGCGGCTGGTGCTGGTCTTGCGGAGTGTCTGGAACTGAGGTCGCATCTCCTCCACAAAGGCTTCACGTTCGGCACCCTCGAGCTGGTTCAGCAGCTTCTGAATGACGTAGTTGCCGTACTGGTCCTTCATCATCAACTGGAGCGAGCTTGTACCATCGCTCGCCTGGGAAATGATTTGCTCCCGAATGCCCTTGCGCTCTTCCGCGTTACCGTACTGGATGCACTTCTCCACAACGTTGGACGCAAACTTGTGCTTGGACAAGGTGACCAGCTGCGCAATGACAAGCTGAATGATTCTCGATCGGTCCTCAGGCATGCCGTGCTCGATGATGTGCTGCACGACGTAGTTGCCGTACTGGTCAGTGATGAGAACCTGCGTCGAGTTGTGCAGCTCAGCCAAGATGGTCTCCTTGTCCTGCTCTGTGCCGTACTCCAACATGCGCTGAATGACACGGCAGGCGTACATGTGAGCCGCCAGCTGGCTGACTTGGCCGCGGAATGCGTCCATGACGAAGTCAATGTACTGGCGGGGAACCAGCTCGATAATCTTCTGCACGACGTGGTTGCCGTTCTGGTCCTTGACGACCTTGAGGATCTCGGGCTCCAGCTCCTTCACAAGCTCGGCCTGCTGCTCGACGAGAACGTGTTCCAGGGCCTGTGATTGTTAGCTTCGTCCACTTTGCTACGCGAATATGCACACACCTTTTGGACAACGCGGCAGGCGTACATCTGCATGGACAGGTCGACAACCTTGCCCTTCATCTGTGACGCCAAAACCTTCTTTTGGACCTGGTTGCCGTGCTCAAAGAACTTTTGGATAACGTAGTTGCCAAAGACATCCTTCATCAGTTGGATGGCGTTGGGCTCAATCTCGCGGAACACCTGATCCTTCTCATCACTGTTTGCAGTTTCGAGCTTTTGCTGGATGAAGCGCGATCCGTGCTGGTCGCCACTGAACTCGACAATGTGGCTGTAGATATCCTTCAGCTCGTATCGCTTGTTCGACTTGGAGCTGGACCTGAATTCCTCCAGTAGCAAGCTGCGGACGCCCTTGCCAGGGTCCTGGTCCTTGCTGGGCCGGATAGGCATCACGCCCGGCATCGAGTACGGCGCCATGTGCAGGCCGTAGCTCGGTAGGGGAAGCGATGGACGTCCGTAAGGGTCGAACATTTGCGGAGGGTACTGGCCCGCAAAGTTGGGAGTGTAGTAGGGTCCAGGGTAGAACGCGGGCGCCTGCGCCTGGATGAAGGCGGGAACGGGCGTTCGGCGGTCGCCATCCGGGACCATTCTCAGATCGCGGGACGACGGCCGTTGGGTCCACAGGTCAGATGCTTGAGGCGCATATGTCTTGGGGCTAGTGACAACCCGGTACTGACCAGGGGCACCGGCGATGCGGTCGGCGGAACCGCGTTTGTACTGAGCCGCCATGGCGTCGGCGTACATTTCGCCAGTGATGGCGGCGTTCATGTCGCCCCTCCAGGGCTGAGACACGGGGTTGAACTGGAAGTTCTGCGCACCGGCGGCGATGCTCTGGGCCTCGTCGAGAGTGAGAGACTTCTTGAACTGAGGAGCGAGGTCCGTTTCGTCCATCTGTCTGCCGTTGGCCATAAAGGCCCTGTTGTTGGTAGTCTGTGTGGGGAAGGAGGAAGAGTGGCCGGGGATGGCGGGACGGCTCGAGGCAATCGAGTTGCTGGGAGTGTGGCCATAACCCCCAAAGTTGTCTCGGAAGGCAGGGGGCGAATGGTGCGAGTCGTCCGACTGGCGCGAGGGAGGAATGCTGCTGTCTCTCGAGGGAGCACCCACCACGCCGAGATTCAGATAGGCGTTGTCTTTGGAACCTCGCTTCTCCTGCCTTGCGTACGAACCATCAAAGGCGCCGCCGTAGCTGGGCCCAAAGCCTGTGTTCTCCTTGTCCTCCTCCAGATATGATTTCGGCCGTCCATTGATGAGGTTGCGTCCCTGCCCGACGGCGTTGTTGTCGAAGAAGGAATTGCTGTTGTGGATGCTGTCGCGTGTGCGATTCGGCGAGGTACTGCCTGATGCTGAACGAGTCTGGGTGTCTTGGTTCCAGGGATTCTGAGTCCACGTGTCCGCCTCCGAGTTCGCAGCGAGGGCACCGGACCCTGATGGCTGTCCAGCGAAGCTGTCTTCCGGGCCTAGTACATCACATAAAGTCAGCTTCCAGTCCATCAATCAATCATCGTCCCGGTCAACCGTACCTCTGGGGTCTCTCTTTCCTGCGCCGCCTGTGTACGTTGTGTTCCAGATGTTTTGCGAGTACAAGTTGGAGCCTGTGAAGCCGGGGGCGACGCTGGCGGCAGGCTTCTCATTCTGGCCGTTTGCCATGGGGAAGCTTCCGTACCGACCTGCTGGCCGGGCCTGGACAACGTGGCAGGTTAGCAAAGTGGCAGCCATCGGTGGAGGGTAGAAGGAACAGCAAAAGAGAAAGTAAGGCGCGAGGCAAGCTTTTTTTGAGTTGTTTGCCAGGTCTAGGCGAAGTTCCGAGCGCCGAATGGGCGACTCGAGCCAAGAGGCCATGAGGCCGCTAGGGAAGCGCAGTCTTGACACACACGGCCGCGCGCTCGCATCTTCGCGACCCGGAGCTCACCCCCATCGGACCTCACGTGGAGTAAACGGGGCAGCGACTTACGGTGGTGGTCATGTTTGTGGTCGGCCTCTGCGCAAGAGAGACGGTCGCAGAAGATGCGGTCGAGTGTCCGGGGGATGCGGAGAGAGAGGAGGAGCGAGGGTTTCCGGAGGTTGACCTTTTTTTTTGGTGCGGCGAACGGGGGGGAAGTTCGCGGCTGCGATGGTGAGATCGGATGCACCTCGCTTGCTGCTTGATGCTGCTCTTTGGATATGTCTGTCACACGGAGGTGCTGTGGTGGCTGGCGAGAAGCGAGAGGACACAGAGGTTGAAGGGCACGTCTATGTGGCTGCACACACACACACGTAGAGGGCGCAGCTGCTTGTGGGAAGTTTTGGGTTTTCCGGTCGTGAATTATATACGATGTAGGTGTAAACTTTTTCTTGCGACAGGAACTTTCTCCAGGAATCGTCTATGGCGCGCGGACTAAAAACGAAGGGAGAACGGTGGGCGTCAGCAAAACCAGGCAGACTGGGGGGGCAGAAATTCTAGCGCGAAGCACAGGGTTGATTGTTGAGGAGAGGGTTTGCCCGCTTTAGTCGTGAGGGAGGGAGGCGAGCGAGGAGGAATAAGGTGAGGGATGAGGGTGCAGGTGTGCGTACTTGGATTATGTAGAAAGAAACAAAGCGAGTGGGCTCGTCCGGGAAGGCAAGGTATGTGGGAGAGCAATAGCGGGATGAGAGGGATGGAGGAATGTGAGGACGGGCGAGGATGAGGGCGAGAGAGATGACGAAGAGAGAGAGAGAGAGAGAGGGAGGAGTACGGATAATGTACGGAGAGTAAGGTAACTCTGTCAAAGGTATGTAATGTATAGAAGCGACCGGAGGCTCTTTTGATGATGTGGAAGACCAAAAATGTACAGTAATAATAGAGTAGACACAGAACAGAAAACACCCGACAGGTCAAGCGTCGCTGGTAAGGCTGATTAGGTTGATTGTTTGATGGAGCGCCCGCGGTCGGCTGGGGCGAGGGACAAGACGGGAGCGGGCAGCTAATAACTTTGTAGGAGATTTTTTTTGCGCAATCCAATATCGAGGACAAGTGCACCCTGGACCTTTGGGAAAGTCGTGGGCTACCAGCCGGGACCTAGACTTGACCTAAAAGCCTGGCCTTGGGACTGGGAGACTTGGAGACTGGAGACTCGTGTGGGAGCTGCAGTAGCTGCGACTTGCAGATGGACTAGACGGAGGGAGGCATCCACTGAGAAGAACGGAGACGGGGCGGGAGGACAGGAGGGTGGTGAGAGGGGGAGTTTGAAGGGGAGCTGACATGGAGCTTTCCTGTCTAGGGTGTGGCCCAACTGCCCCAAAGTGGCCCTCTATTCCCTCTTTCTTTCTCTCTCTCTCTCTCTTTCTGCTCCTCAGTCTTGAGGAGTCGAGGGGTCAGGGATGCGACCGGGGGTGCATTGGAACTGGAACTGGAACTGGGACTGGGACTGGGAACTGGGCCTAGGACCGGGACTGGAGATGGGGGCCCTGGGAGTTGGACGATGGAGCCGTGGGAAGAAGGGGGGGGAGGGGACCCGACAACACAACTTCGGGGAGGCAAAGCCGCAAAATGCAGTAAGAAACAAGGTAGATAGACACCCACGACACCGTGGTAGACACCAACGGGAAGGATTGATTGATGGATGGCAGACGGGAAGGGGTCAGTCATGCGAGGGATGGGGATGTGAGGCCGGGTACGGATGGAAAACGACACACACACATTCTTGCCGGTAATTATCGTACCTCTTTTTTTTTTCTGGCTTGCTTGCTTTGGAGGGGGATGCCAAGGTGCTCAACTCTGTGTAGCTTGGTGACGGTGTGAATAGAGTGCGAGGTAAAGTAGAGACAAGCAATGAAGGCGGGAAAGGAGGGAGGCGAAAGGACGGGAGAATGAGATGGGAAAGATCAGAATAGGCAGACAAGGGGGGGAGGGGCAATGATAGTTTGGCCCTGCTATTGGATCCAACCCAGAGACGAGAGACGAGACTTTGCGCCGAACTTACCAAATCTTGTACTCCTGTCTTGCGAGGAATCGACAGTCGAATGTGTCTGTGTGCGAGTGGACTACAAATCCCCGGTTGCTGCCTTGCTGTTTCTTGCCTCTCGTTGCCTCCTCTATTCTCTTCTTCCTCTATCCGTTAATGAGTAGGTTGGTACTCGTTCGCGGTTGGCCTGGTTTTGTTGGCTGCCTGCTTCTCTGCTCCTCTCCACCGAGGTACAAATATTGAAAGTTTGGACAGGTGATGACGACAGGTCACAGAGCAGAGTACCAAAGGGGGCAATGCGTTCTTTTTGGGATTGTGCGTATGTGGGCGAGCGAAGAGCGTTCGTCTCCAAATGATGTGATGTGCGGCTTGACAAAAAAGCTAAATGTTCGTTTGCAGACGTCTTGAATGGACGGTTTATGCGTGCGTTCAGAGGGCTGAGGTACCGGGGCACCTTGGCGGGAGAGAATAACAGGTACCCTGACACGACCTGACGGTTGACAAAGTACGGGCTGAACTGGGCGCGCGGAGAGAAGTATCGACGGTGGAGGCAAACAGGACTTGACGTCCAATCAACCTATGGATTTGCGGAGACGGTGGTCCGGTACGATGAATGACAGAGTGAGTGAGTGACTGATTGATTGCCCTGGGTACGGAGTACAGCTACGGGCTCTCAGAGGAGCGGTTGAGCGCAAGGTGTCGAGAGAAAACGGGCCAACAGGTACCAAGTGCGTGGCGGGAAGCAATGTACAAAGTCCCCGGGGTTCGAAACGTCGATACAAGTCGGGACGAATGGTGTATGCAGTATGTCGCGTGTGTGCTTCTTGTTCTTGTCCTTGTCGCTCCTAGCTTCTATCCGTAGGTGCCTCGGTTGGTGTGTGCGTTGCTCGTGTGTGCGTGTCTGTAGTGTGCGAGTGTGTGTAATTACTAGAGAGTCGACGCTGCGTGCCCCGAGAGATATGCTCTTGGGGCTCAACTCTGCCAGAGCAAAGTCGGACTATAGGCAGAAGATGGCGGACGTTGAAGAAAAGACGGAAGATGTAAAAACAGGTAGACGATGCGGATTGGAAAGAGGAGGCACGGTGGTTCCCAAGATGATCAAATAAAGTCAGAGAAAATGGTGGATGGGTGCGGCAAGCCTCTGGAGCCCTTCTCTTTGGATCCTTGGGACTGGAATGGCGGTTTGCGATTGGTCTCCGACGGCTGGCCACAGGCACGACAGGGAGAGTCGTTGATGTTGCAATGGCACCAAACTCAAGGTGAGGTACTTGACGTTACCTCTGGCTTGGCCAAGGTAGGGCAAGCCGTAAAGCAGACAAGCACAAAGTGACCGTCTTTGAATGGTCAAAAGTTCTCCCAGACTGCGTGTACCGAGAACCGAGTGGATCGTGGATGCGGTTGTGCTGCTTCTGTCGATACAGGTGCTGCTGCACTTTGGGATAAACAACCTGCGGAAATAAACAGCAGGCCGACTGCCTGAATCACGGCGATGAGAAAGAGAGAGAGGGTCTGTCCGGGCTGAGACCGTTTTGTTTGTACAATTCATTCGATGGCGGAATCCGTACGTAGATGCTGGTCACTAGAGTACTTGGAAACATGTATCCGATGCCGCCGTGGTTTGCCCACGCTTATCTGGTCCGGAAGTCCTCAAGCAACCTAGTTGAAGGCGCCGAGTGTGCAATTTGGCTTGTCGATGCGAGAATGCAGATGCAGCGCGTGGAGCCGGGGGTGTGGCCCACTACGGAGTAGGCGAGAGAGCGAGAGAGATTGACTGACTGACGGGACCAAGGCGGGAGACACTGGCTCGATTAACCCGTAGCTGTATCCGTAGCGTGTCCGTACATATGAGCAGAGCTAGGAAGAGCTGCAGGTCATTCAAGACACGAAGCGGAGCAAGTACGGATACTCTTTTCGCTGGCTTCATACGAACATTCGTAGATTATGCTGAACGTCGTGGAGAGGTAAGGTACTTCGTACCCTTGAGTCGCCGGTGATCGGCGAGATCTCAGTTCTAATCTACCTTCGACTGATGGATCCTGCCCCAAGATCAGACAAGACAGGCTGGCGGCAAGCTTCTTCGTCCTTCGAGGTGAGGACGCCGTACCGTTGGCCGTCCGAGAGCTGGGTCCAGAGTCTTGAGTCTCGACCTCAGCAGGAATCTGGGCTGAACAACAGGCGGCGAGTCCAATCGAGGGAGACACACACGGACGGGGATACGCTAGGACGAGACGAGTCAAGAACAAGAAAAAGACCCCCGTCTGCCAGGGGAGGAGAAGGGGTTCTGCCGTCCTTTTTAGCGTCTGACGGGTTTTTGTTTGTTCGGGGGCACTCGTGGGCGGTGGATTGATGAGGCACGGCTCCCACGAAAGAATGAGATGCAACTGGGATTCGATGCTGACAACGCTGGGCAGGCTGGTTCGGAGAGTGGGTTATCTTGCGTGGCAGACAGATCTCTTTCCAGTGGAGGTATCAGCAGATGGCTCGCTTCTAGGCCACGCAAAAGATCGCTCTGCTCTGGTCCAAACTTCTCCAAGACCTCCGCTGCACCGACGAGCTGTATCCGTAGCTGGAGCTGGCTGGTCTAATGTTGATGGGGGTCCGGGACGGATGGCGCGATGATCAATGCAGGCGAGATAATACGGACAAGGGGGCAGCTGCTGTTGAGAGACAACACTGCGCGTGTGATTGATTGCTTACAGCCCGTGGTTTGCGTAGTATCGTCTCTAGGGTGTAATACGCTGGTGATGTGATCAATAGGCCGCCCAGGCAGCACGAACCCGACAATGTTGCTTTACTCGTCTCTCCACTATTGTCGTCGTGCAGAGTACTCCGTACGCGGCAGTGAAGGAGACATCTCAATTTCTCAACAGGACGGCAACGGCACTGAGCAGCAGCACCACTTGTGGAGGACCGAATCCAGGGTCAAGGTATTCGTCCGGCGTAGCGAGGAGAACAAGCCTGGACCAGGGGTTGGGAAAGGGGACCACAAGTCTGCAGCAGCCGGGTGGGCCGCCGTGTAAGAGAAGACTGCTTGATGACGAACGGCCAGCCGTGGCTTGAATGTTTTGTTTTCTCGACTCGTGAGGAGCAAAAAGCAAACTTGTTGTTGCCTGCCTCAACGGTGGCTGAACAGGCCAATGATGATGGAATTAGGAATGGCAACCCAGGCGAACCGTGGCTTGAAGATTGACAGGTCGCCTCTACACTGCCACAACCCCGGATTTTCCCTGGTCGAGCGTCCAATGCCGTCTCGCTATCACTGCGCCGTCTCGCGTTTGATTTCTTGTCCAAAGTGTCCAGACTGGACTTCAGGGGGGCGTGGGCGATTTAGGATCAGGGGGCGGCGATATGTGCCGGAAATGTACCTGCGACTATGTTCCGGCCGAGTTCCGTGTATGATCTTCAGGGATTCTGGGGCAGAAACGACAGCCAAGTCTCTGAGATTCGAGGAAGCGAAACGGGCCACAGCAAGATTGAACACACACAAAAAAAAAAACGGCGCTTCGTTTCTTCAACGTGTGTTTCTTCGTTGTCTGACCGTTGAGAAGCGTTGAAGAGTGTAGGATGATCGACAAGGAGTAGAGAGGAAAGGAAAGGAAAGGAAAGGAAAGGAAAGAGAGAAGGAGGCTCTTGTGCGATGTTACTTGCAGCCCGTCCTGTGTCACCTCGTTAAGTAAATCGGAAGGCACATTTTGTTCAAGGTAGGAAAGGCAGCATTCGCCTTCCAAGTTGGGCTACTGAATTCTGCAACAAGGCAGGCAGACCATCTTCCCATGCCTTCTTTCCTTCCTTCCTTTTGCCTTGACGTCTCACCTTACTCGTACAGTCCGAAACTTCGATTGAGAATCTGAGGAAGGAACATCGTTGCCATGTTCCTCGTTTGAGCAGACTTTGCAGGTATCAAAGGCTTCCTCATCTCTATGTCTTTTATTCAACAAAAACGCGCTGATTGGCAGGCATAGGGGCATCAACAATAAGTGCAAGCTGAGGAACCGTGGCTCGTGTTTTCAATACATGATGAATCCACCAGAGCGGTGCCGTTGGTCCCGCAAGTCGTCGCTAAACATTCAACGTCTTTAATCAGAGGCAAGAAACAAAACATTCTTGTACTTGTTTGCCAAGCGTGAGTCTTGTTTTTGTTACTCTAAAGAAATCAAGCAAGGGGCGGTCGGTGTATCATGTACTACCGTGTGGCGATGATGCGGAAAAGAGAGAATAAGAAAAGAGAAAAAAGAGCCGCCAGTCTATGGGAATATCATGGACATGTTTCGTTCCTCCGTGGACCTGTTGGCTCCTGGAACGCAATTCTTATGAACAGGCATACCGGAATGCTGTAATGTTGCTGGTGGGCGCGCTGGCACGTCCTTGTTGCGCCATCCCTCGGCTGAACAAATGAGCCCGTCAACGTTTCTGCTTGGTACGAGCCGGGGCCGGCCATCTGGCCCATCTCGTCCCTGAGCTTCTCCGTCCGTCCCAACACGCCCTGTCAAACCTGCATCGGTCCCATCAGCATGGCAACCAAGAGTGTCCGTAAAAGGCACTTCACTTCTAGGCGTCATGTATTGCCATCCGAGTTCACGGGCTGGGCTGGCTGGCTGGCAAGGGCTTGTTCTAGACACCCGCGCGCGCCAAGTTGCTCCCGCTCGCCCTTCGCTTGTTTGTGTTCATCTCCAACGAGCAAATTCTCACGCAGCGTTACACTGCACTTGGAGCGCAAGCCCCTTGAAGATGTATGTCGATGACAGCGCCCGGCTCCGAGCAGAAAGCCATGGTCTTGGTTGTGGATTAGCCCTCGTGGTAAGAATTAGACGTGTTTTGTACGGAGCAGCGCCTCTTCACCCAGTGTCGTGGCCGCCGACCGCTCGTCCTTTTTTACCAAAGGTTAATATTGAGCAAGGTGCTTTCTGGCTTGCTGAGCGTTACTCTGCGACATCCCACGGGTGCAACGCTGGTACTCAGAACGTGCACTGCTGTGTCATACCGCTCCGCCTCTGCGAGCAATCTATGCAGAATTGCTATGTGTATGGAGTCAAATGGCCTACCCCCTTCTGTTCGAGCCGACGGGGTTTCATGAAACTCCAAAGGGACTGGGACTTTCTCCCCCTTCCCGAGGAAATACCCCAAAAGACCGCCCGAAGTTTGAGTGTGTCAACCCCGGATTGGTCTTGGTCCACTCTGGCGGGGTTGTCGTTGTTTCAGTGTTTCAACTCTACCAACTTGAAAGGGCCAGTCACGACTGCTATTCATTCCAGGCGGCCTGGTCCGTCCACGTTCCTCCTTAACAGGCCTGGGTAGGGTCTCATTGGACGATGGTACGCCAGAGAGTAGGTCACGGCAGGGATCGACATTCCTCAATATCGCCTGTCCAGTATTTGGAAACTGCGCTGCGAGCTATCGCATCCCAACATCAAAGTCTGGCGGCTTGGTGACCATAGCATTGCATGAAGGCGCAAATCGATTGAGGCTCATTGCTCCAGTAGGTCGGAACGAGTGGCTGGACAAGGCCGGATGGGAGTTCGTGCGGTCACACTCTCACTACTCCGTACTCATGAACTCTCTCGCTTTGCTGACGAAATAGCATGCTGTACGACTCGTGTTGGCCGGCTTGCATGTTTCCTTCTGCTCAAGTAGCAGCCACTCGCCAAGCTGCATCTCGGTACCCTACGGACGAAGCGGTCCATGTGATCTTCACGGGGTTCCGGCGCCACAAGACACCCTATAAAAACAAAATTATGCCTGAAGAGCATACGAAAAAGCAAGTCCGAGAATCAAGCATCATCCGCTTTCGATAAACCGAACTTCTATCGTGAAGCGACAAAGCCTACTGGACGTTCGTCTGCGAGTTGGCAGACCTTATTGGGCAACAAGGGGCGTCGTTGCCTGCCAATTGCATTGGTCTGGTTCGGCCTCCGCCAGCAAGTGAGTAACCCCGAGTCGTTCTGTCCTGAGAAGAGATGCCAGCCTCTGGATCCGGTGCACGATTCTGACACCACTCGTTACCATTGAGAACTTGCTTATGGACAGTCTGAAGCTCTGCGGACACGATCAACTGTATGTCGGGATGACTTGGAGTACAGCTATTGGCTAGAAGTATATTGCTTGGCCAGCCCAGTCGCTGACCGCCTCACAGTTGCTTCTTCGCAAGGAGGGCTAAAGAAACTTGCTCCTCAATGAAGGCCTCTGCCGGCAACCTTTTGCTGAGACATTTCGGGCAAGGTTGTCCGATCGTGCAGTCACTCGCCGCTGTGTAATATCGATGTGGCCGACAGAGAGTCGTACGTGGGCAGGCAGGGTAGGTATGTCCAAGGACTGCGAGGGATCGATATCTTTCCAGACCCTTACTTGATGCTGTGGCACTTGTAATGCCGAAAAGTGCCACACCGCCTCCTGCTATGATTAGTCTGGTGCACAAGACGGTCATCGCCTCTGGAACCCGGTGGTGATCGCGCGGGGCTCTCGCAGCATGGCGACGGTTAGCTGCATTCGTACAAGGCCAAGCAAGAGTCGGAACTTTGTCGCTGACTTGCCAATGTGTGTTTCGTCGATCCTGTTAAGACTTGGTTCAAGACATGTTCTTTCGCCACTGGGCATCCTCAAATCGAGGTCTTGTGTGTCGTGATTACTGTACTGCAGATGCCTGCCAACTGAATCTTTGCCTAGCACTGGCGCCCAATCCTCAGACACCTGCTGTGCTTCGCAACTTTCCTGGAAAACCGCGGCCGGGAAGTTCACGAGGTTGAGGTCGACACTGCTAGCCAAGCAGGGATGCGCGGGTTGTCTTTGGTACTTGGACAGGCTCTGGTCCGCTTCACCGCCCATCAGACTGCTTCGGTGCTGTTGCATACATCGTTTCCGTAGACTAACGCAGAGCAGATGAGCGATGCATGTCTCGAATCGTCCTTTTGCGCAAGATAATCGCCTGCCAGGCTGCTTTGGTATCGTTGCATGTATCGTGTTCGCAGGCAAGATGTGGCCGTGACCGCCACCTCAGCGCAAGAGCATCACGGGCGAACTGCCTCATGCGTTGTCATCCGTACTGGGCGAGTATTAGCAAGCTTCATTATCATGGAGACCCAAGATGTCGTCAGGCGCTGTCACCTGCAAGAACTCTTCATCATGCTCACCAAGAGGCTTAGCAAACGCCTAGTTGGGAACTGCCCATGGGCTTACCTCCAGTCAAGCTGCGGTTGAGGTCAAAAGTAGTCCAAATTCTCCGCTAAGAGGCCACAATGAAATTCTTGTACGTGTCAAAAACGAGCAGACCTTATTCAGGAACATGGGCAATGAGATGTGCCTCTGGACGGTGCAGCCTGATTGCGTTTGGTATTTAGGTCAAAGACCTTCTCGGCAGCGATGGCCACTCAGGGGAACCGCCACATGTCGAATATCCCACTTGGGCGACTTGTCAAGATAACATCAAACCGGATGATGATGGTTGCGGAAGTGACCCAGTGAGGAGAGTCGTTATTTGTCTCTCTGTGGCGCCGTGGTGAATCGGAGCGGACGGACGCCACAAAGGAGCGCCGCATGTGGCTCGGACCATATGCTCGGTATGTTCGGTGTCGAGTTGTCAGTAGTAGTATTGCATTAAACCCGGAGGGGCAGGGGCTGTGGGATAAGAGGTGGTCGCTGCATTGAACAATGCAACGGTGCTTCACAACAAACGAGATGAACAACTCTCGTTTGTCTCCAAGGGGCAACAGCAATTCCCGGAAATCTCGTAGACGGTCCCGAAAGGGATGATCTGCGACAACAGGAGCCGGCAGGCGGAGTCGGACGAAAAGGCTATGCTAAGATCGCTACGGGCCGGGCAGGATTTTGCATTTTGAATTCTGGGTTGTGTACGAGGCTCGCAGGCGGCAGCACCGTGGTAGGCGTGGAAGACTGGAAGAGTCCATTCACGAGCTCGTAATCTCGTGTGTAGGGCAACGGGGCCATCGTGGGCCACGAGGCTCTCGCTTTGCCAGAGATGACGGTGCGGGTCGAGAGCCCCACTGGCATGGAGTGACCAGGTGGCTGCTGGAGCTCCGACGCTATTTCTGGCATCGGGACGTTGCCGCCGCCAAAAAGGTGGGAGAGGGCGGAATGAGTTAATGAAGTCTTTCTAGAATTGGGCGAGAGTCAGCAAGCAGCAAACCTGATTTGACATGTTGAATGATTGCATTCGTGGGGCCCCGGGAGAGGCCAAGACCGGATTGGGACGGACAACTTTGTCAGTCGACGATGGTACGGATACCCGGAGACATTTAGACTGGGCAGAAGAGGGATCAAGCTGGCAGCTTTTTCGCTCGGTAGACTTGTGATGAGGGAGAAAAATACTGGTAGGCGCCGGTGTGTTATAGCTCCGTGTGATATCGAGATGAGGGCGGCAGAGGAGGAAGCGGACTGGACGGAAGGGCAGAAAAGGAAAAAGAGATTTGAGAAGCAATAGTTTGGTCGGGCGAATCCGAGAGCATTCAGAGTTCATGTTCTCGACGGGCGTTGCATTGTTATTCTCCAAGTCGTTATGATTTGTTTGTGTTGCGGCTTGCGGCTTGCCTCGAAGAGTGGAAGGCCGGGTATTGCTGACGAAGGACGCACCTTCCTTCTCGAAATGGATGTCACCACGACGCTAACCGCGTGTTCTATCCAATGGACCCACTTGCACAAGGCCGCAGTGGGTGCTGATTTGCGAGTCCAGATTGCACAGAAAAAGGGGAGTCCCAGCTTGTCGTCACAGCCGCCCAGGTTCGGAGGAGGAAGGCAAGAGCCAGGGGGGATTATCTGGCAGAATTCAGGAACTGGAGCAAGAGCAGAGCAAGAACAACTCGCTCGTTCCTGGCTGCACACGAGCTCACGGACCACGAGCCCCTGCAGGGGGTCGATGAGCTTAGTTGGGAAACGACCAACGGCCGCCCAATTATCGACGCCGTTTCAAGGCGGCTCCCGGTACCGCCCCGCTTATCCCAGGCACGCAACGGCCTCATTGGCCAATGGCGGAAATTGCAACAGACCGTTGACGAATCGTGCGTGCCTGTCAGATGGGCTCAATCTTGGGGCGTTGCTTCCCATGTTCCCAAATCAGTCAAGTTGCTCCATGGGCAGTGCTTGCCAGAATGGAGAATTGGCCCGGTCCAGATCCACTACGGAGTGCGCCAATGGAACTATGGATTCCATGGAAGGGAAGGTGGGAGGACCGTTTGCTGTCGTCCGATGCTGCCATCTTCTCCTCTTTTCCACTCCCGTCCTGGCTGGTCCTGCTTAGCTTTTTCTCGCTTCTTTTCCAAGGCGGTAAGCAGCTTTCTCCTGAGTTTTTAGCCTCTCTGTTCGTGCCTCAGATGTTATGTATTTACCTTATCATACGCAGTACGTATAGGACGGATAAGAAGTACCTATGTACTGCCTGGCTGGAGCTTCTCTCAACCCGGTCTGGCTCGGTGATGATCCCTGCCGCCTTGCCAATAGGCTGGGGCTCTAGGAAAGGATTCAATCTGTGATCACGAACCGCCCCATGCCATGATGAATGATGCCGCCCTTTTCTGTGCGCTTATGCTGTGCCTCTGCTGCATAGATCCTTGGATGCCTGGCCAGGAACGGCATGGCTCCATCGCGTCTTCCTCCCAGGCGTCCAATGCCGCCCACACTGGCACACACGCTGGGCAGTAGCCACTTACCCGCTGCCCAGTCCTAATGCAAGCCTGCGCACCAATTGTCCACACACCAACGCAGGTACCAGGCACACACACACACACACCGCAGACCTCCTCTTCCCGTCTGCTCCTCACCCTCGGCGCTACCCCTGTCTCTCCATTTTCCAACCAGGACATATCCTTCCTCGTTCCCTTCCATCTCGACTTCTTCTCCTCCTCCCTTCCCTTCCCTCCCCTTCTTCTTCAACAACTTTGTTCAAATCGTCGTTGTCCTTGCTGTACGTTGCAGGACCGTTTGTTGTCACTCGCTCTCTATTAGCACCCTCCTTCCAGTCACTCTCTAATACTATCCCCCCCTTGGAAATTCCGCTTGCATTCACTAAGCAGTTTTCCGTCCTATCGTTAATAACCACCCTGCTCACTACGTACCATCACAACTACACCGAAAAAAACACCCAACCCTCAAATCCAAAAATATCCACGACACACCGAGAGACAAGTGCATTCTTTAACGACTTTCGCGACGGCCTGCCACAGAGAGAAGACTTAATCCCTTACGTACGTGCCACTTCTTTTTTGGGAGGCGAGGCAAACCCGCCCTTCTGGACTGGACATTCGAGGACTGTTGTGTGTGTTGGCCGGTGAGAAAAGGGAGATCTGGAATGGATCTATTCCCCTTTGTGTGTTCACCAGACAATGCTCCAGAATGTCTCACCAGATGTCGGACCCTCAAACAACAAACCCCTTTCGCGATGGCTGACAATCCCCTCCTACAGTCGTCCGCTCTTTAATAATTATACCGAATACCGCTCTCTTCTTCGACTCGCACCAAAGAAAAGGGATATTTGCAGTAATAATCAGACCCGCTCACGACCAACACAATGCCTTCCATCCAAAACCTCATCTCCCGCAACGCCCCTGGCGTTGTCACCCGCGACGTCGATGGCGGCGACACTCTCAACCTCATGATTGTCGTTCTCGCCTTGATCTTCTTCGCCCTCCTCCTCGTCTCCACACTCTTCCTCATGCGCCGCATGCGCAGGCAACAGCGCCGAGAACAGATGCTTCCCACCTATCAAGAAGTGAAGGGCGGCGCCAGAAACCACCACAACCTCACCATCCAGACAAGTCAAGACGGCCGCTCAAGTGTCCTCTACATCGGCCAGGACGGACGCTCGCCGATGCTCCAGAACCCCCAGTCCGCTCCCCACTCCCCCGACAACGTCCCCGAGATCCACATCACCTTCCCCGACGAGCAGGATGAGGGCGGCCGCCGCAAGAGCGGCCGTGTCCTCGTCGTCCGCGTTGGCGATGGCGGCTCCGTCGGCCTCGAGCCCGTCCGCGATGAGCAGCTCCCGGCGTACGAGAAGGATAGCAAGTCGCAGTTTTATTCTGTCGATATCGACTCAATCGGCGGCCTGCGGGAGAAGGAGCGCTTCAACTAAGCAACCAACAAAACCAAAACTTATCAAGTGTCCAACTTTTGCCCGGACAAACTTCTTCTGTACAGATCGGTTCCCGCTGTACAAACTCAGCATTTTTCTCAACATGGCATGGCGTTCGACGACACACACTTTTATACCCTGCGCACCGGGATGACTTTCTGTCCTTTGCATGGTCCACACACACGGGGATTATATCACCGCCTGTGGAGTCAACACGCATCGGCATTGGGAAATGGCTCGGGGCGCAACTCTTACGTATATAAACTTAACGACTACCCCCGGGAAGCCCGTCTCGCGGTGTGAACGAAACCAGGAATCACCGTGTGGTGAAGGCGAATGCCGGGTTGTAGAATATTTGTATATTCTAATGCTGTATAATTTCCTTCTGTCCTCTAAACAATTCAAAGCAAATGATGACCCATGGCTTATCGCATGCCCCCGTGCTACCCCGAGTCTGTCGATCCTGTGAAACCGTGTGCCGCCCTACGTTACAGCCACCCCGCATTGGCAATATTTGCCGGAGGTCCGACGTCAATGTTTATTGTCATTGGGCTAGTAGCCGCTCCTACGGCACGTTACCTCAAAATACGGTAGGCTGCAGAGAAGCAGCTTCAATCGACGAACCGGCTTGTTTCGCAGTTGGTGTTTGGGGGGAAAGCGTTTGGACCATGGGATCGGCAAGCAAATGATTTGCGACGATCACCCATCAAAATCCCCCGACTCGTGCTCCAACAAACGGACGCGGTACTGGCCCGATCCCGGCACCGCTGGGTACGGACCACCCTATTGTCTCCACTCATCGCCGGATCTCGCCGGATAATCGCAGCGGTTGTCGGCTGTGCGCATCGCCGTGTTGAACCTCATCCGACCAGTGAGGGTTTGCGGTTTGGGATAGTGAGTGGATTATGATGGTGTCCTCGTGAAAGAAATGGCAAGGCTTCGATTTGATGTTGATTATATCTAGAAGAGACTTTCCTGCTCTCAATTTGCGAGCAGTGCGACAACGTCAATCCGCAGCGTAAAGTGTGTAATAGACAGACCTCTCGCGATGGCACCCTCGTCAGATATCCCACCTCCATATGAACAGCCTGCGAAGCCCAGCGGGCTCAAGATGGACAAGCCAAACTTCATCATCTTCATGCCGGACCAGCTTCGCTACGACTCACTCGGCTGCAATGGCAACAAGGTCACACATCACCCTCCCCTCAAAAGTGAACCATCGATGCAACATCACTAACGTTCTGACAGACCGTAAAGACGCCCAACATTGACCGCTTCGCGGCCGAGGGCACCCGGTTCACAAACTGCTTCGTCCAGGCCTCCGTCTGTACGCAATCCCGGTGCAGCATGTTCACGGGCAACTACCCGCACGTCACGGGCCACCGCTCCCTCGAGAACCTCATCAAGCCGTGGGAGCCCAACCTCTTTCGTTCGCTCAAGGAAAAAGGAGGGTACCACGTCGCGTGCCTCGCGCCGAGGGGCGATACCTTTGCGCCGACGGTGACGGAGCTGTCGCTGGATGAGTATGGGTTCCTCGAGACGCCCGAGTTCGTGCCGCGGTTCGCGGGTGGCGGGAACAAGGAGCCCGAGGATAAGGAGGATATCTGGAAGAGGCTGTTTTACAAGGGATTGAGGAATAACGAGGAGGCGATGGATTATGATGATGCTGTTGTGAAGGGCGCGTTGAAGTGGTTGGAGTGTCCGCCGACGGATAAGCCTTGGGTGTTGTTCATGCCGCTTATTTTCCCGCATTGTCCTTTTCAGGTGGAGGAGCCGTATTTTTCAATGTATGATCGCGGTGAGATGGGTGTGCCCACGAAGCCAGACGATAAGGTGAGTGCACTCCTGGGGGATGCCAGAGACTGTCGCAGCTAACGGACTATTGTCAGACCGGCTACGAGCCTCGCTACATGCAGCTCAACCGCGAGCGCTACGGTACCCACCGCGCGACGCCCGAGATCTGGGCCGAGGTGATGGCGACCTACTACGGCATGATCTCCCGTCTCGACGACCAATTCGGGCGCGTCGTGGACAAGACGAAGGCGCTGGGCCACTGGGACTCGACGGTGACGCTG